CACGCAGTTTCCACACACCACACATGCCACACACACTCACACACACATACCACACACACTCTCACAAATACCACACCCAACATATACAAAAACACACACACCACACACATCATACACATTTACACATACCATACACACTCATAACACACACACACACACACACACACACACACACACACACACACACACACATCCAGGCTTTAGGGCAAGCAGATTTCTTGAAAATTTGTATTTTTTAAATAAATTATATTTCTGGAGGTGGCGGCACAGGTACACACCTTTAAACTCAGCACTCGGGAGGCAGGTCAGTCTCTGTGAATTTGAGGCCAGCCTGGTCCACAGAGTGAGCTCCAGGGCAGCCAGGGCTATGTAGCAAGATCCTGTCTCAAAAAAAGCTTTGTCTAGTTGTCTTCATGTCTGCCTGTCCACCGTGTGTATAGTCCCCATGGATCCCCGGGAAGTGGGGTTACAGACGGTTGTGAGCCGCCATGTGGGTGCTGGGGAATGAAGCCGGGTCCTCTGGGAGGGCAGCCGGTGCTCTTAACCACCGAGCCATCTCCCCAGCCCCCAGTATTTTACTTTTAAGAGATTCACTTTGCGTATGAGTATGTACACACACGTGTGTGTACGCACACGTGTTTAGGCATGCATATATGTGTATATGCGCATGCGTGCACACCAGTGTGTGTGTTTATGTGTGTGTATGCTGTGTGTGCATGTACACCTCCGCATGTATGCATATAACTGTGTGTGTATATATGTGTGTGTGTGTGTCTGTGTATGAAGGCACTTGCAGAAGCCAGAAAGGGGCATTGGGTCCCTTGGAGCTGGAGGTGATTCACATGATGGGTGCCAAGATCTGAACCCCAGTCCTCTCATGCAGCAGTAAGCCCCTCTCACCTTCTGAATCACTTCCTCAACTTCTCTGTCTTTTTTTTTTTTTTTTTTTTTTTTGAGACAGGGCCTCTCTATGTAGCGCTGGTTGTCCTGGGACTCACCATGTAGACCAGGCTGGCCTCGAACTCACAGAGACCTACTTGTCTCTGCCTCATGAGCGCTGGGAGCAAAGGCATTTGCCATGCCCAGCTCTCGGCCTGCTTTTATACGGGTGGTAGGGATTCCAGCTGAGGCTGTCACACCTGTGAGTCTGGCATTTTTCAGGGTCACCTCCCTAGTCCTTATTTACATGCTCTTCTTCAGTCCTCTCATCGAGGAGGTACCGTAGAATCGAATCCTTGTTTCACTGCTGTGGGTGGAGGGGCTCAGAGACTTGCCCCAAGGTCTCACACCTAGAATGTCAAAGAAAGGCTTGAGTTCAGGGATGTGACCGCAAAGTCTCATGTTATGTCACTTCTGCAAGTGTAGGGATGAGTGGGAGGATGTGGAGGGACAGCTCAGCAGGGAGGAGCCTTTGGGCCTTCTGCAGGAGACGAGTTAGGTTTCCAGCATCCACTCTGAGCAGCTCACCACCATCTGCAGCGCCCTCTTCTGGCTTCTGTGGGTACCCACATTCATGATGCATGCACCCCACTACCACATATATCAACGTAATTAAGAATTAAAAAAAAAAAACTTAGAAAGAAAGTAGAGTGAGAAGCTGCCCCCTGTGTCTCGAACCTTTGTCCCCTCACTGTGTGGACCCGTGATGATTTTGGTTACTCCAATCCTGCTGACACCGTCGTTAATTCTTTCCCTCTCCTCCTCTCTTGCCAGAGTTCTTCAAGTTCAAGGGCCTCGGGAGCCTTTCCAATCTCCCTCGGTCCTTTTCTCTGAGACGGTCTTCAGCCTCCGCTAGTCTCCGGCCTCACCTGGAGCCTGACACTTTTGAAGCCACACAGGACGACATGGTGACCGTCCCGAAGAGCCCTCCTGCCTACGCTCGTTCAAGTGACATGTACAGCCACATGGGCACCATGCCTCGCCCTAACATCAAGAAGGCTCGGAAACAACAGGCTGTCCAGAAGGCCCAGGAGGTCAGCCCCGAGTCACGCCCTCCGCCTCGAGGGCTGCTGGACCCACCAGGCTTAGAGGCAGCCACGGAGGCAGAGGAGGGAACTGACGCTCAGCTGAAGGACACCCCAGGGGTGGAACCCACACCTTTGGCAGTAGAGGTGGACCCTATGAGGAAGCCTGAGGAACCCCCAGTAGACAAAAAGGAGGAGCAAGTCCCTGGGGATGTACACCCAGAAAGGTAGGTGTCAACAAGGACCTGCAGAGATGTTTTCTAAACATCTCTAGCTGATACAGCTCCAGTGCAAACATCTGGGCTGAAAAGAAAAGGCTAGGGTGTAGAGAGTGGTACATCCTGCAGTGCCAGCACTGAGGCAGCTAAGGCTGGAGGATGGCTGTGAGTTTGAGGTCAGCCTGAACACAGTGTGAAACTCTGTCTCAAAACAAAACAGGAAATATATATGTGTGTATAGATCAGTTGGTAGTTGCTTGCCTAGCACACAGGAAGGCCTGGGTTTGATCCCTTAGCTTGGGTCTCTGCTGCTGCAGTGAAGCCCCATGACCAAAAAGCAACTTGGGAAGGAAAGGGTTTGCTTGGCTTACACTTGCACAGCACTGCTCATCATTGAAGAAAGTCAGGAGAGGAACTCAGACAGGGCAGGAACCTGGAGGCAGGAGCTGGTGCAGAGGCCATGGAAGAGTGCTGCTCTCTGGCCTGCTCCACATGGCTTGAAAGCACCCAGGACCTCCAGCCTGGGAGGGGGGCAGCACCCTTCCCCCATCGATCACTAATTAAGTAAAGGTGGTACAGGCTTGCCTTCAACCCATTTTTGTTTTGTGTTTTGAAGACAAGGATTTCTCTGTGTAGCCCCAGCTGTCGTGAACTCATTCTGTTTACCAGATTGGCCTCAGACTCACAGAGATCCTCCTGCCTCTGCCTCTGCTTGTGCCTCCCTAGTGCTGGGACTAATGGTCAGAACGGCCACCGCCTGGCCTACAGCCCAGTCTTATGGAAGCATTTTCTTAATTGAAGTTTCCTCCTCTCAGATGACATTAGCTTATGTCAAGTTGACATAAAACTATCCAGCACAGTCCCTGTCACCACATAAGTTGGTGTGGCGGCACTTGGGAGCTGAAAGCCAGATGATTTAGAGTTCAGGATGATATTTGGCTTTATCTGCAGTTCCAGGCCAGCCTGGAATACAAAGAAGTGGGGGTGGGGTGGGGGCCGTAAACAGTGCAGGAGATGGAACACCTCAACTCTTCCCACAGGCCAGGCAGTGTATAACTAATTCTCAAAAGAAAACCAGCTCTGTATATACTGTTTATACGGCAGGTTCAGGGAGGGGAATGTCATCTGTCGCAGCTGGGTTCAGTATCCATCCTGCTGGCCACTGAGCTGCATTTGGACTGAGGCCAGCCTGACCCAGGGCCCAGCACACACTCCAGCAAGAGCTCAACACCTTTAGTTCTGGCCACCAACATGGCCAATGCCCGGTCTAGAAAGCCCCTTATCAATAGATTTGCTTATTGCACCCTATAAGTCGAGTTCATGCAAAGGTATAAATAAATAGTGGGCCCGAAAGATGGTTCAGCTGGTAAAGATGCAGGCTGCCAAGTGGCAGCATGAGTAAGATCCCCAGGACTGACGAGGTGAAGGGAGAGAAAGGCACGTGGTCGCATGTGTGCCTGACCTCCCCAAAAAGCCGTACAAATAGTGATGAGATTGACAATGACTCCTTGAGCACTTCATTGACTCTTTTTGTTCTTCTTTTCTTTCATTCTTTTTTTTTTTTTTTTTTTTTTTTGAGACAGGTTCCCGTTCTTTATTCTAGGCTATTCTGGAACTCACCATATAGACCAGGCTGACCTTGAACTTACAGAGATCCTCCTGTCTCTTCCTCCAGAGTGCTGGGATTAAAGGTGTGTGCCACCATGCCTAGCACTCATTGAACACTTTTTAAAAATGCTCTTGTTGAGGGTTGTGGCTCTACACAGTGTTGTGTGTGTGTGTGTGTGTGTGTGTGTCTGCCTTGTTTTTGTTTTTAAGCCTGTGCTTTGATAAGGAAGCTGAGAGTCAGCCAAAGATGCCCTCATGTGGATGCGGGGTCTGAGCACTGCCTCGGCAATCACACACTGGTGGTCTCCATTCTTATTTTACTTTTTAAAGACTTATTTATTTGAGTGCTTATCTGCATGTACACCTGCAGGCCAGAAGAGGGCACCAGATCTCATTATAGATGGTTGTGAGCCACCATGTGGTTGGTAGGAATTAACTCAGGACCTCTGGAAGAGAGCAGCCAGTGCCCTTAACCACTGAACCATCCCTCCAGCCCTGGTGGTCACTTTCTAAACTCCAGGATCATGGATCCTGTTAACTCCAGCCAGAGGAAACTCCAGCTTTGCAAACTTCTGAGTCTTTGCTCAAACCAAAGTGAGGCGGGAGCCAGGTGAGGGCCTTCCAGAACAACTTTCCCCCAGAATACCAAACCCAGCTTCTGGGTGCTGAGGTGCAGCCGGGTTCAGACTCCTGTCCTCAAGTCCAGACCCCCGATTTGGAGGCAACACAATTCTGTTTGTTTGTTTAAACAAGGTCTCACTGGGTAGCCCTGGCTGTCCTGGAACTGGCTCTGCAGACCAGCCTGCCCTCGAACTCACAGGGGTCCTCCTGCCTCTGCCTCCCACGTGCTTGGATTTAAAGTGTATACCACCACACCAGGCAATTTGTTTAAAAAAATATTTTTTTAAGTTACTTATGTTGTTTTTTTTTTAAATAATGTATTTAATTTTATGTGTATTAGTGTGAAGGTGTCAGATCCCTTGGAATTGGAATTACAGACAGTTGTGAGCTGCCATGTGGGTGCCCGGAATTGAACCCACGTCTTTTGGAATGCTCTTAACCACTGATCCATCTTTCCAGCCCCCTTATTTTGTTGTTTTTTTTTTTCTTGTTTGTTTGTCTGTTTGTTTTTCGAGACAGGGTTTCTTTTTGTGGCACTGGCTGTCCTGGAACTTGCTTTGTAGACCAGGCTGGCCTTGAACTCACAGAGATCTGACTGCCTCTGCCTCCAGCGTGATGAGATTAAAGGCGTGCGCCACCATCACCCTGCTAAAAGATTTATTTTTATTGTATGTGTATGAATGTTTTGCCTGCATGTGTCTGTGCCCCACATGCTTGCAGTGCCCACAGAGGCCAGAAGACGGCGTCAGATCTCTGCGTCTGGCATTTGTAAGCCATCAAGTGGGTCCAGGGTACCAAACCTGCGTCCTCGGCGCTGAGCCATCTCCAGTCCTGGCAACAGAACTTTGTAAACTTGCACAATAGCACTAGATCAGACTCTGGAAATGCTACTTTTCTCTCTCTTTCTTTCTTTCCTTTCTTCCTTCTTTCTTTTTAGTTTTTTTTAAAATTATTTTTTGATAGGGTTTCTCTGTGTAGCCCTGACTGTCCTGGAACTCACTCTGTAGACGAAGCTGGCCCCGAACTCAGAGATGCGCCTGCCTCTGCCTCGCGAGCTCTGGGATTAAAGGCGCGCGCTCCCGCCTGGCTTTGGAAATGCTATTTTCATGATTAAATAAAATTAAAGCTTTTTCCACCATCTCTTGCTGCCTCAGGCTGCCTTCTCCAGCTACCCTCTCCCAAATTTGACTTCATTCTGCAGTTAAGGATCTTATTAGTGAAGACGGCCAGATCCCCGATGCTGTGAGGTTTCCTAGATCCGTGAATTCACGGTAGCTTGGCTCCTCCCACACAGGGACTGTGATTGGTTCGCCGGAGCAGGGCAGGGCCAGGCAGAGGGGTGTGTTCGTTTGGGGGCGTGTCCTTCTCCTGCCGGACGGTGACTGACAGGGAGGGAAGGAGGAGCGAGAGAGGGGCAAGTATGAAGTGGGTGTGTTTTTCCTTGGATCGTAGCGGCTCGGGGGCGTGTCTAGGGCGTGGTTTTCAGGTCTGGCCCTGCCCCTGGGGTCCTACTCTGAGCGCCGTAGCTCTCAGCGAGAGTCTTAGCGGGAGTGTCAGCCTGAGAGTCTTAGCGGGAGTGTCAGCCTGAGACTGTTCCCGGGGCTTCAGGCCTTGACCACCGGGAGCCATGACGGCAGTGGACCGAAGGTGCTCTGCGCTGGGGCCCCGAAGGTGAGTGATCGAACTGGCTCTAGGGAGGCCAAACGGACAGCAGGAGTGGTCCCGCGGGAGAGATGCTGGTCCCTGGTACTGCTGACGCACCCTGCTATGGGTTGAACATCTGAGATTTTTCTTTCTTTTTCTTTATTGAGGTAGGGTCTCGTGTGTGCTCAGCCTTTGTGTGCGTGTGTGTGACAGGGTCTCTCTATGTAGCCCTGGCTGTCCTGGGACTCACCGTGTAGACTAGGCTGTTCTCGAACTCGAAGGCGTGCACCACCATGCCTAGCTGTGCTCAAACGCTCGATCATCCGGCGTCCACCTGGGGAGTGCAGGGGTCACAGGCCTGGGCCACCGCACCTGGCGGAGCCTGGAATTTTTCTTGAGCTGTGACTGTTGCCTGCCTTGTCTCTGCACACACCCAGCGTCTCTCTGCTCACCTTCTGGCAGCTCCTGGAGAGAGAACCCATTCTGTAAATAAAGATAGAAGAGTTTGCTCACCTGTTTGACCCCGCCTAGTGGAAGTCAGAATAAGAGTTTGACCCCACCTTTTAGGCTCCTGCTAGCAGCCTCTAGGAACTCTGGCAGGGCCCAGGGCCTCTGAGGAAAGGTCTTGAGAAGCCTTTATAGAGTCTAGGACTCAGCCCAGGGCCTTGTTCCAGCGATGCCTCTGACAGCAGGCTTCCCCTGGACCCAACCAAGAGAAACTTTTGAGATTCTCTGCTTCCCATCTCCTGAAGTGTTTGGGAGTCTTGGGTGGGTTTAGCAGGCCAGATCAAGCCCTGTTCTGGTGCCCCAGGACCCAGTGTCCCCACCCTAGCCTCAACTTTCAGGGCCTATTGGTCATTTGTTACAGGAGTCCCTGGGACTCAGGAGAGCAGTGGGGTTCTCAGGCTAACTCCACTCCATGCTGGGCCTCTGCTCCTCTAGGAGCCAATATGGGTCTGAGGAGCCATCATCCAGCTGGACAGAAGGCTAGCTAAGAGTGCCAGTGAGCAGGATGGGGCCTGCCTTCCTGAGTGTCCAAAGGGGCCATTCTAGTGGACGTCAGAGGTGACCGTGCCCCTCCCCCACCCTGGGAAGGCAGCGTGCACCTGGAGCAGGAGGAAGGAAGAGGTGAGGCT